TCCCCAAGGGTCCCCCTGATCCTAAATCCTAGCCAAGCAAGCACTCAAAGATAAACTTTGGCGTGGGATATCCCAACTATACAACTCTCGCCTGCTGGGGGATTATGGCTTCTGCTTAGGTTTTTGGGTTTCCCAATAAACCCTAAGACCCTAAGCCCTAAACACTCTTTATCATATGTACTTACACCTTAATTCATTGGTTGAATATGACTTTTTCTGGTTTTTATCAATTTCAACGAAAAAATCATATTCAACGAAGAAATAGTCATATCCAACGACGGCTTGCCCATTCGTTGAATATGATTTTTCTGCGTTAAATATGACTTTTTTCTTCGCCAAGTTCCACGAAGAAAAAGTCATATCCAAAACGACGGCCGGCCCATTCGAAGTCATAATCAACGGAGGCCGGCCCATTCGCTGAATAGGATTTGTCTTTGTTGAATATGACTTTTTCTTCGCCAAATCCAACGAAGAAATCACCAAATTCAAGGAATAAAAAACATATTCAACGAAGTCCGGCCCTTCGTTGAATATGGGTTCAGGTCTTTGGGTTCAGGGTCTAGGGTTCAGGNNTAGGGTCCAGGGTTTAGGGTTCAAGGCCTGGGGTTCAGGGTTTCGGGTTCAGGGCCTGGGGTGTCAGGTCTAGGGTTCAGGTTTAGGGTTTAGGGTTTAGGGTTTAGGGTTTAGGGTTCAGGGTTCAAGACCCAGGGTTCGCGCTATAGGGTTTAAGGATGCTTGGGGCCGTTTCATTTTCAAAGCGCTGCGTTAGTTCGCCGAGTTGGGAATAAGGTTTAAGCCCCTAAACCCTAAACCCTAAACCCTAAACCCTAAACCCTAAACCCTAAACCCTAAACCCTAAACCCTAAACCCTAAACCCCTAAACCCCTAAACCCCTGGGATTCAGGATGTGGGTGTTAGGGTTTAGGACCTAAGCTCTGCCTATAGTCTCATTTGTACTTTCCTTTGTTTTGGGTTTAACCAAATATATATTCAGGATTTTATAAGGTATCCCCAGAAAAGGAACTACAATGGAGACTATAGGTAGGATTAATAAACAATATGGTTTCTCAATGTTGAGGGTTCCTGGGTGGGTATTTTCCTAGAATCGAGCACGCGTGCTCGACTAGAGACTGCTCGACCCGGAGCTGCTGAACCCTAAACCCGCAGACCCTAAACCCTAAACCCGCAGACTCTAAACCCTAAGCCCGAAAATCCTAAGACCCTAAACCCCTAAACCCTAAGACCCTAAACCCTAAACCCGCAGACCCTGAACCCTAAGACCCTAAACCCTAAACCCGCAGACCCTAAACCCCAAAGACCTTAAATCCGAAGACCCTAAACCCTAAACCCGGCAGACCCTTAAACCCCAAAGACCCTAAACCCGAACACACCAAACCCTAAGACCCTAAGACCTAAACCCTAAGACCCTAAAGCCTAAGACCCTACTAAGGCCCTAAACCCTAAACCAAACCTAAGGCCTTGGAAACGTCAACCCTGAACCCGGTTTTTACCCATGCACTGCCAGGGCATCCCTTTTTACGTTGCACCTGGGCCTTCAAGGGAGGGGTCGAGGGTTTAGGGCCTGTTTTTGGAGGTTTCGAGTGCCGGGTCTAGGTTTTTAGGCTCTGGGTTTAGGGTTAGGGTTTACGGCTTAGGGCTAAGGGTTTAGGGTTTAGGGTTTAGGGTTTAGGTTTGGTTTTTGGGTTTGGGCTCCCTAAACACTAAGCCCTGAAATTTATTCTTCTGCTCCCCATGAACAAGGAACTTGATTTTTCTTCGCAGGATTGCAGTCCAGTGTTTTCGGCGGTTTGTCCGAACCCTGAACCCAAAACCCTAAACCCTAAAACCTAAACCCTAAACCCAAAACCCTAAACCCTAAAAGCCCTGAACCCTAAAAGCCCTAAACCCTAAACCCTAAACCCAAAACCCTAAACCCTAAACCCTAAACCCGAAGACCCTAAACCCTGAACCCTAAGTTTAGGGTTCAAGGATGCGCGGTGTCTCGGGTTGGGGCTCTTAGTCTGAACCCATACGCAATCCCCTTAACCCTAAAGAAAGGGGCCTTTCTGAACGGTTTAGGGTTTAGGGTTTAGGGTTTAGGGTTTATATTATTTTGGGGGTTCCTTATAATATCACCCCAAAACCCTCTTCTAATTATTAAGGCACCTAAACCCTAAACCCTTATAGCAGCCCTTATATAACCCTGTAAGGAACCCTTTGAACCCTTATAGCAGCCCTTATAAAACCCTTTGTAAGGAACCCTTTACACCCTTATAGCAGCCCTTATAGAACCCTTTAAGGAACCCTTTAAGGCAACCCCAAAACCCTACACCTAAACCGAAACCCTGAACCCTAAACCTTAAACCCTAAACCCTAAACCCTAAACCCTAAACCCTAAACCCTAAACCCTAAACCCTAAACCCTAAACCCTAAACCCTTTAAGGGAACCCCAAGGACCTACACCGAAGCTCCCAGGTTCTTCCTCTGCCTCGCAGGGGGTGTCCGCTACTATGCGCCCACGACGTCAGCCGTCCGAGCCCGGAAGAGCTTTCGTGTGTGTAGGGTTTAGGGTTTAGGGTTTAGGGTTTAGGGTTTAGGGTTTAGGGTTTAGGGTTCTTTTCGGCTCTAGAGCCCTAAAGCCCTAAAGCCCCAAAGCCCTAAAGCCCTAAACCCTAAACCCTAAGCCCTAAAGCCCTAAAGCCCTAAAGCCTAAAGCCTAAANNCCCTAAACCCTAAACCCTATTCGGCTCTGCGAGTTTCGAGATGTCGGAAGAGGTCGCAAAATCGTAACCTCTTTGAGCCGAGACCCGGGACCATGTTAGGGTTTAGCATTGAGGAGACCAAAGCAAGGTTCATGGGCCAGCAGTTCGAGCCGCCGGGAGGAGAGCCGCAAGATTATTATCGGGTCAGCTGCATCAGCATGATGCGAGACATGTGCTCTTGCTTGCAAGTACCTAAACCCTAAACCCTAAACCCAGTTCTGGTCTTTACACTTTAAGGTAAACAGGTTCAAAACACAAGCCTAAACTCATTGGTCAAACGCAGAGATTGGAACAATCGCTAAGAGTCTCTCCTTAAGAACCCTTACAGTTATACCATTTAGGGTTTAGGGTTAATTGGTCAGAATATATTACGAAACCCCATTCTTAGGCTTTTATATTCGGGATTGTCGCCGAGGAACCAGGGAAGTTCTTGAATTGCCGGTAAACTTCGGACGGTTTAAGGTTTCGGCTTCAAGTTTACACACGCACCCTCATCCCCGAAATCCAAAACCCTGAAAAAACACTGAAAAACCCTAAACCCTAAACCCCTAAACCTCCTGAATCTGAACCCTCGTCCCCAAACCCAAGGTCCCAAAGATTAAGTTCAACATCCTAAGCCCTTGGTCCCAGGTCCCTAAAGCCTCCATACGGTTTAGGGTTTAGGGTTTAGGGTTTAGGGTTTAGGGTTTAGGGTTTAGGGCCCGCTATTACCCGTGGCTTTATGAAACTCCCAACCCTAAGCCTTAAGCCTTGAAACTCCATAACCCCTAAACCGCAAAGCCTTAAAACCTGAACCCCTAAACCCTAACTCCAAAACCCTCAACCCTAAAACTCCTAAACCCCTAAACCCTAACTCCAAAACCCTAAACC